GGGGGGGGGGTCGTTTATATTTCGATTTGATTTTAGTTTTCGATGTTTTGGGGGCGTTTTACGCACTTGGATATGAAATGATCATCTCTATCATCTCATATCTAACCCTGAAACGCATCAAATGTTTTCCGTCCACACGAGAAATTTGAAAACGTACCAACACTGGCCGTTTTGGATTTGCGCTTGAGGAAGACGGGGGCAAGAAAATCACATGATTATCATAACGCCATGGTTTTCGAAAAGTTCCGTTTTTCAAATGTTTTCCGTCCACCCTAAAACGCAAAGCCAGGGTTTTCAAATTCCTCTGGTTTGACTGAAGAGCGTTTTCGAAAAGTTGTTACGGTAGGCCTAACCGGAGAAATAAAGCTGCGTTTTCAGAATTCTCCGGAGTAGTGTCACGGGCCTAACAGAATGGTTTCAAATCGAGAGGATTGTACAAGACATTTTTTTTTAATTACATCTAATTAAGTCGGTAAAATTTATACAATGTACAATTTACTAGGAATTACTTACACCAAATGAGCCTGCGAACAGGCTCCGGCTGAAAGGGTTTGACCGCGGCTGGAAGAGCCGAGAACGAACTGGCTGAAAGCGGGGTGGCCGAGGGGGGGGGGGAATGGGGGGGAATGGGGTGGGGGCTGGGGCGTCGTCTCCCCTTCTCTCTCTTCTATCCCTTTTCTTCCCGCTTTCTCTTCGCCCCATCCACGACTAGAGAGCCTGTTCACATGCTAACACTAAATACGTAATAGCAGTTGACACCACGTCTTTGTTTTCTAGGTCTTGGCTTTGTAAGGCTTTGTTAATTGCCTTGGCCTTCTTTTTCTTGGTCTTTGTTTCCAAGGTGATCGTTATCCCTCCGTGCCAGTTTCCGCTCCATTTACCCATACACTCTTTTTTAGAATATTGTTTTGTTTGTGTTTTCGGCCCAGGCGCGCAGAATATTTTATTTTCTGCCGACATATTCTTAGCCTGCAGTACACGCGGATTAGCGGGCTCTAGCGCGATACGCGAGTGCGCGCGCGAAGCATGAGAACGAGCCCGAAGCGTGAGAACGAGCGTGAAGTGCGAGGCGAGAAAAACCCGCCGGTAGTCACACCATTATTTATGCTCTACTGCCCCCTTGAAATGATTGGCATGAAAGAGTGAGAGAAATCAAAACAATTCAATTTACTGGCGCGAAAAATGTCTCAAGTAACCAATTTACAAATGTATACATGACGCAAAACAGTCAACGGACGTGAACATCTAAATTTAGCTAAATTTAAATCGTGTGGTGCCAAAACGAACAAAGGAGGTATAAACCTAAACATCGAGCTGAGGA